TCATTTTTTCAGTTAAGCCCCAAAAAATACATTCTATTTGCCAGAACTGGTAAATGTCATCCGGGCCCTTCCCCGAAAGGGCTCGTTGACATTAGTATGTAAAAAATTACAAAATATAAAAGAGTGCGATTTAAATTTTGTTTAACTGTTTTATATTTTTCGGAGCCTTGAACAATTTCAAAAAAAGACTTCAAAAGATTTCGATTTATATTTTTTAAACTTCAAAAATTTTCGGAGCCTCCGAAAATTTACAATATTCAAAAAAATTAAATCGGACTGTTCTCAGAGATCACCAGATTTCCAGATGATTTAAAAATTTAAAACACGTAAAAAAATATACAAGATTGCGATTTAATTTTTTAAATTCATTAAATTTTTCGGAGCCTTGAAAAATTAAAAAGTTCAGAAAATATGAAAGATTTCGATTTATATTTTTTAAATTTATATAAACTGTTAAAATCTTTAAATTTTTAAATCATGTGGAAATCTGGAGATGTCTGAGAACAGTCCTACGATTTAAATTAAGAAAATTAGAAAATATAAAATATGGCGATTTATTTTTATAATTTTTTGAAATTTTCGGAGCCTTGAAAAATTTTCAATACTTAGAAAATATAAAAGATTTCGATTTATATTTTTAAACTTTCTAAATTTTTTCGGAGCGTCCGAAAATTTTTAAAAAATTAAACAATTTAAAACGGACTGTTCTCACAGATCACCAGATTTCCAGATGGTTTAATCTATATTTTAAATATTTTAGAATTTTTTCAGAGCCTCCAAAAATCTAAAAATTTTTTGAAATTTAAATCGGACTGTTCTCAGAGATCACCAGATTTCCAGATGATCTAAGATTTAAAATTTAAAAAGTTTAAAGAAGTTTGAAAATATAAACAATGTAAAACATATAAAAAGATTGCGATTTAATTTTTTAAATTCATTAAATTGTTCGGAGCCTTGAAAAATTTTCGAATTTAGAAATATAGGAGATTTCGATTTATATGTTCAAAATTTCAAAAAAAAATTGGCGCCTCCGAAAATTTTAAAAAATTAAACAATTTAGATCGGACTGTTCTCAGAGATCACCAGATTTCCAGATGTTTTTAGAAATTCTAAAAACTTAAAAAATATAAAAACAATAAAGATTGCGATTTAGATTTTTTACTTTTTTTTAAATTTTTCGGAGCCTTGAACCATTTATAAAATTTTAAAAAAATATTTTTGATTTTTTTTCGGAGCCTCCGAAAATTTTCAAAATTTAAATCGGACTGTTCTCAGAGATCACCAGATTTCCAGATGATTTAAGATTTAAAAGTTAAAAAGTTTAAAGAAGTTTAAATATATAAACAGTTTAAAACATATAAAAAGATTGCGATTTAAACTTTTCAAATTCTTTAAATTGTTCGGAGCCTTGAAAAATTTAAATAAGTTAAAGAGTATAAAAGATTTCAATTTATATTTTTGGAGGCTCCGACAAATTTAGAAAACTTAAAAACTATAAAAGATTGCGATTAAATTTTTCAAAAATTCATAAAATTTTTCGGAGCCTCCGAAAATGTAAAAAAAATAAATCGGACTGTTCTCAGAGATCACCAGATTTGCAGATGATTTAACAATTTAAGGAATTTATTTTTTTTACAAAGTTTGAAAAATCTAAAAGATTGCGATTTAAATTTTTAAAATTTCTATTTATTTTTCGGAGATTGAAAGATTTTAAAATTCAAAAAAGATAAAGGATTTCGATTTGTATTTTTTGAATTTTTGTTTTTTTTAAATCATCTGGAAATCTGGAGATGTCTGAGAACAGTCCTACGATTTAAATTTTTTCAATTTTCAAAAATTTCAGAGGCTCCGAAAAATTTTTGAAATTAAGAATATACAGATGTCAATTTAATTGTTTAAAATTTTTAAAAAAAATTAAATCGGACTGTTTTCAGAGATCACCAGATTTCCAGATGATTAAAAATCTTGAGAATTTTAAAAAATGTAAAAAATATAAGAGATTTCGATTTATATTTTTAACTTTTTTTGATTCTTAAGATTTTTAAATCATTTGGAAATCTGGAGATGTCTGAGAACAGTCCTACGATTTAATTTTTTAGATTTTTTAAATTTTCAGAGGCTCCGAAAAACTAACAAATATAAAAGATTACGATTTAATTGTTTCAAATTTCTTAAATTTTTCGGAGCCTTGAAAATTTAACAAATTTAAAAAATATAAAAGATTTCGATTTATATTTTTTCAATTTCTTAAACTTTTTAAATTTGTAAATCATCTGGAACTCTAGGGATGTCTGAGAACAGTCCTACGATATCCTACGATTTAATTTTTTATTTTTTAGATTTTTGGAGGCTCTGAAAAACTTAAACCAAATATAGAAGACATAAAAGATTTCGATTTATATATTTTTTAATTTTTTAGGCTCCGAGAGATTTAAAAACTTTTGAAAATTTAAATCCAAATCTTTTATATGTCTTAGTTTTTTTTCAGGCACCAAACAGAAATAAATAAATATATCGTAATATTTTATAGTGTTTTTATTTGTTTATTCATTTAGAAATCTGAACATCTCAGACGACAACCCAATTTAAATCCATCATTTTTGATATAGTAGTTATATATAGTTATTAATCTATATATTTAATTATGTTAGCTTAAATTATCTCAAGGCAGACTGCGCAGCACATAGGGTATACTCTTCCCTCTTACGGGGGGGGGGGAAGGGGGGGGGGGAAGTTAGACTTGTCAAAAATCCGCTCCGTGGGTACAATTAGACTAAAAACAAAACTACTACTAGGATAGCATACAAACCAATCATCTAAAACACGCCGCGCCCAAGGGCCGGCGGATTCAAGGTTCAAGCTGCCGCTGAAAAGATAACAATACATACACAATCATCTTCAATGTGCACGGATCACTTGAGATGTTTAAGTCAGCCCGTGTCTGTATGTGGAGCTTAATGGGGAAAGGTGCACCCCCAAAAGTCACCCTTACATCATCTTACATTTGTGTAAGTCAACCAGACAGCCGATTAGCTGGGTCAAAAGTGCTATTCGTAAGTGACTGGAACTTAACCTGCCTTCTTACGCCCGGGTTTTGGCCTTGTGCCATTATCATTTGAGAACATGCAAAATACTTTGAAAGGGTATGTGGGTGTATATATATATATGGCATCTTGCAAGATTTATATACTTACACTATGCCTCGCCTCAAGTGGCAAGGCATCACAGCTCAACCTGGCAAGCACAATTTATTGTTTCTTGCTTAGTCAGGCTGCCCCAGCGTGAAGATTGAACACCAAGATCATTTGAGGGTGCTGCTTCATGGCAGTAAGGTTCAAATGCAATCAACCCTTCAATGTTCCTGTGGCGCTGCGTATCGTTGCATCCTTTCCCATCCCAGGTCAGCTCAGTTTGGTGCTTGAAACAAGGTGGGCAAGCCGGCAAGCTGGGACCAAGCTGGGATGCCACTATGAGGACGTATTTTTGATGGCGTACTGTTAAGGCTTTGATAAGAGTCTTTGTGCGACAAATTTCCATCCATCCACATCCATCTCTGAAAAGGCATCCTATTTTGGTCCTGTTTGCACTGAGGTGTGTGTCTCAGAGTGAGTAGGGAAGGGACTAGGGACCCTTCTTTACCACGAATCGTCGAGAAATAACGATTCCAGTCAGGAGGTGCTTGAAGGCGCCACCTTCAGTTGCGTAGATTGGCAAGCCAATTTGCAAGAATTGTTTGCATCTTATCGAGCCGGTCCAATATCCAGACCTTGCTCACCAAGCTGACCTGTGTCGACTCATTCTGTCCTCAGGGCTTGATTAACTCCACCTTTATTTGTCGCACTGGTGAACAGCAGGGGTTGGACAGGACCCAAGAAGAGACAAGACATGCTGCAGATGCCAGCAAAAGGATCACAGGTTATACAAGATTCTTGTCAAGGAAGAGGGGAAGGGCAACCTTGGGATTTGATTCGCAATTGAGTGCTATATAGCTGCTATGATGTGAATAGAATAGGCCTTGAATGATGTCTGGTGTTCTGGACTATAGTCCAGTCTGCTTTTTGCTTGTCAGGCTTTTTCCCACACGTATTGGCCAAACCTGGTCATAGTTCACCCTTTTAGCTTTTTGTTCAGGTGTAGCAGTACTGTATTGTCGTTTCTGCAGAGGCTTGGCCAATATTTTACAAGAATTCAACCGACACCGCTGACACCCATACCGATACCTACTTTGTCTTCTTTGGCAGAAGCATGATAGGATCAACACCTGTCCTATTTGCGTGAAGCACCGGAACATCTCTGAAACCAGCAAACTTGAGGATCCCGGCGTTTATTTGTGTGATGATCATATTCTGTTGCAATAGCCTTTGAGAGGTTGGGTGAGATCCGGCCGACCAGCCCGGTTTTGTGTGACAAAGATGCATGGGCGTTGAGCAACCATATCTATATATATATATCGCTATATATATATATATGTGCACTGATCTCAAATGACACTCGAACTTTAGCGGCTCCAGCTGATGGCAGCTGGACCAATGAAGCTTGCCGGTGGCCTCAGCTGTTGGATATCAAGAACCCCCCCGACTGGCAAAAAGGTCTTCACATGCAAGAATCGTGCGACCATGGTAGAAGTGCAAATACGGCAAGATGGATCAAAATCTTTGTCGGTTGAAACCTGTCACACCCCTTGTTAGAAGTGTCGTATCCTTGTCTCCCAAATCCATCCACAGTCCCTCGCAAAAGTTCAAAGCGAGCTTGTGTGACATTGAATGCATATGAATCTGAATGTTTGATCACTGTAATCGCACAAAGGATTGACATGGCGAGTTGCACTTGATTTCCCACTGTGCCGTTCCAAATTCCCTAACTGAGTGCTGACGAGGAATAATTTGAGGGTTGAAATAGGACTTGTCAAGGTATATCCACAGTTTCTTCAACAGGGCCTTGGTGCGTAGGGCTCACTGTTGGAAACCAAAGGCGGTTTGAAAAGCAATACATCCTTTGCGAGCTTTTACCACCAAGCTCTCGCTGTGCAGAATTTGCACAAGCTGTATGATTCAGGTGCTCTTGGATTTCGGTATGACATGCCATGCTTTTGCGCGCCATTTTTGGCAACCTGTGGTGTTTGTGGTACGTGCTGGCAGATGACCTGCCTTGTCGATTGAGAGTGGCGCATTGCATTGTTGGGCATGTACGCACATTTTGGCAGGAATCAGTGTACCAATCGATTGCCGATGTCCTTGTGGCACGAGCTTCTCCCTTCCACTGTGCTGATTTCTTCTACGTCCTGGGAATGTCATCAAACTTGGATACTTTCAAGGGAGGAGTCTATGATTACAACGAGACGCTGCTCTGGAACACTGCATGGAAAGTCTTGCCACCAACAAAGTACTTGCTAGAGCCTCCACCACCTACCGGTCCTCGTCACACGTCCTATCATCAACCAGACTGCCTCTTCCAATGTGCCCACATGTTTGACAAGGTACGACTTTGCCTTGAACTAGTACGACAGTATGAGAGGGAAACAGGGCAGAGGTATGCATGGATTGTCCGCAGCAGGCCAGATTTGCAATGGGCTGCCGAAACGGAGATGCCATCCTTGGAAGAGCTATCAAACTCAAGTATTTACACCGCAATCACTCGGAATTACATACAAGATAGCATTTGCAAAGATCCAGTGCAGATAGTCCCACGAGGCTTTGCTGAAGATATTTTTGACAGGATCCTTGACACATGTCTTTTGCGCAGAGATTTGGAAGGCGAAATCTGGAATTGTGATACATGGATTCAGCGCTTTTGCGACTCCAGACACATCCCCATCACGCTTCTCAGGTTCCTTGGCTGGCATAAATGTGAACATTCTTGAGTTTTCAGAGCCAAAGCCGAGCCAAACGTAAAATCTTGGGTTCTTGTTGGCTTTGTGACCTGCATTCCAAGGCTGATTGCCATGATCCATCGGCTTCCGAGCATCAAGGACAACTTTTTTGACTACCACGACCAATGGTATCAGCATGTGCGGTTCGCTCAGCAGTTGCTGCCAGACTCGATCTTTATTTTAGGGAATGAGGATGAGGGCTTCTCAAAGAAAGACATGAAGTGGTCCAATTTCACTACTTCGATTCCAGCTGCGCTTGAACCACAAGAAGGATGCATCACAGTAGCCGACAGTCAGTTTTGCATGCCTGTGAATGCTTACTTGAGTCTCAGTTTCATCAGAGATTCATGGCGAAGGTCCCTGCCCAATCCAGTATGTGGCATGCTATTTTTATAATCTAGTCATGTACATATATATATATAAGAGGTATACTATATTGTATTATTTTGTATTTTATAATGACTTAGACATGTCAGACATGTGCCAGGATCATTGCACAGACTACTTTCTTTGGAGAGTCAAAGTGCAAAACCTGTTGTGAGCTACAACGAAGAGACTGCCTCAATAAACACACTCTGACATTGGTTTTCAGTTAACTCAATTCCCAGGTCGAAAATGGTGAGGGAACGGCATGGTGAGAAAGTCAGTTCACTTGAAAGGTTGAACAAGCTGTTTGTGCGTGACTACATGCAGAGCTCAGCAGTAGTGAACGAGCGGCGCAACTCAGCTGCAAAACCAAGGTTTCGGGGGTGGAAGCATGAAGAACCATGAATCAAACCGTGGAAAAGTAGGGTGACAGCTTGTGGAAAAACTCAGCAGGTACACAATGCGGCGTCCCGCATTGCTTCACGACCGATCTATCACTGTCTTCGTTGGGCAGTGAGTGATAGTGGTCCACTGCCCCCCTGCTGGAACAAAACGAGGAAAACTCTTAGATACAGAGTGTGACGCACACACTCCGCCGCTTTGCGGCGCTCTGGCATAAAACCTAAATAGGCACCTAAAAAGCCTTAGAAAAGAAAGAAAGAAAAGCAGAAAGAGCAGCGCTAAAAGGGCAGGAGAGAAAGATAGGTGTAGAAAAAGGTGATTTCTTAGCCCTTGACTGGGGTAGGGAAACGAACCTCAAGAATCACCTAAAAAGCCTGAAAGAAAGCCCAACAAACGACGAAAACCGCAAGAAGGAAAGCGGGGGGCAGGGAGGGGGTGTATGTCCATGTGTGTGTACATGTGTGTGTCTGAATACTTAGCACTCTAGAGTTACTGAGTGCAATAGTTAGGGAGCGGGACTTTAGTCTTAAACCGCCCGGGTAGAGTAGACTAGAAAAGGGACAACAGAGGGAAAGGCACCGACACACAAGTGTGTCGAGTACCATTTCCCTCTGTTACCCTAATTAGTGGGTGGGGGGGGGGTTGGGGTGTTTGGGGTAGAAAAAACGTCGGGGTTTATTCTCCGTGAAAGCCCGGCGGCTGGTGAAGCAGTCGATCCAGTGGTGAACAAGGAAACGGTTAAGAGAATCCAAGGTTTGAAGGGAAGAGTAGAAGCTGTTACACGATTTCCGGCATGAAAACAGCGCCTCCTTGCGGAGGATCACACCCAGCACCCAAGTGGGACGACTGAGCGATTCACACTCTGACATTGGTTTTCAGTTAACTCAATTCCCAGGTCGAAAATGGTGAGGGAACGGCATGGTGAGAAAGTCAGTTCACTTGAAAGGTTGAACAAGCTGTTTGTGCGTGACTGCAGAGCTCAGCAGTAGTGAACGAGCGGCGCGACTCAGCTGCAAAACCAAGGTTTCGGGGGTGGAAGCATGAAGAACCATGAATCAAACCGTGGAAAAGTAGGGTGACAGCTTGTGGACAAACTCAGCAGGTACACAATGCGGCGTCCCGCGTTGCTTCACGACCGATCTATCACTGTCTTCGTTGGGCAGTGAGTGAT